GTCTTGGCACTTGAACTCTTGAGGGATGGGGCACGACCTAGAGACATGGGCGTCATGGACCGCGAAGCGCGGAGGGTTCTCTCGGCGGCGGCTGCTGCGGCGCTGGGGGATCTCCTGTCGGTGTCGGCTGCTCTGACAAGCGTTTCAATGGCGCGCTCGAGGCTTCCGTTGACGCTCCGCAGAACGGTCATGTTTTTCTGCGTGTCCCCGAAACCCATGTCACGCAAGTGAGCCAGCTTGCTCTCCGTGTCGTCCGACTTGCTGGACTGGACGCTGGCGCCGAAAACCTTGGAAGGCTTGTTCTGGAGGTGGTCGTCTGGCGACGGGCTCCGTGGATAGTCATAAGGGCTCGGCGGCGGCCTGGAGTCTCGCGCAGCGGCCTGCTTTTTAGAGCGGGATGACAGAGGGAGAATAGAAGAGGCGGATCGGAAGCTGAACTTGCTAGGCGTCTTGGGCGGTAGCGGGGGAGGGATGCCTTCGTCCATGGTCCTGGCGCTGTGGCTCTTGGTGGGAGCGGGCGTCGTGGTGTACTTGGATCGGATGAAGCGCTCCATGGCCGAGTCGGCCTCGTCGGCGTCGACGGGCACCGGAGGCTTCTTGTTCTCGGGGTTGTAGATTTGGTTCGAGGTAACATTGCCAACCTTTTTCATATTCTGCGGGGTCACAACAGTGAGCTTGAGCGACTCTCTCTCTCCTCCGTGGGCGGCGGGCCGCGGATGTGTAACGTACCTCGACCTGTTCGTTGGACCAGCCATCCATACTCAGGGACTTGACCTTGGAAATGTGGGTGCCAAGCTTTCGATGGATCGAAGCGCAGCGCATGCAGAGGAAGACGCCCAACTGGTCACCAGTGTCAGTTCAGAATCGCGGTGAGGTGGACAAGACTTGTTTTGTGGTCGGAAAACGTACGCTCCATGATGCCCACGCTGTCGAGTTTGGTCAGCCACACGCAGCTCAATGGAGGGGAGGGGAGGGGGGGGGGTTCAGTCGAGGGGACCGAGAGGTTGCGCACCTGGGTTACGGGCCTGGCAATCGGCGCAAGAATTGTTACCAGGCACCTTGGCCACAAGGTCCTGCAGCGCCTTTTCGTTGCGCGCCTGTTGGCGCTTGCTCAGGACGGAGGCCATGTTTCGCGCAGTGGTGGGACAGCCCGTTCGTAATGGCGGGGGGGTGGGAGGAGAGGAGACGAGTACGTTAGGGGTAGGCGGAAAGAAGAAAGGCGGGGCGCCCAGAGCCTGCGAGACAGGGATGGAAGTGGCGGGGAGAGGGTCGAGTCGAGCGCGGTGCCGCAGGTGTTGCGAGGTAAGGAGTTGCTGTTTGCTGGTGGTTGTTGTGGGGTTCGCCGTTGGCGATGACGGAAGGGCTGGGCTGGGTAAGGAGGCACACCTATAGGAGCTCCTCCTGAACCAGGCTGAGCTTCTGAGCCGAAGGAGTGTCGGCACGCGGCCACTGCACCCAAATCGGGGCGAATGGTGGGTTATGGGCAGAGTGCTTGTTGGTGCCCCGTTGAAAAGGATGTCAGGGACAGGGAATCGGAATTAAATGGGCCGCCCGCGAATGACGCGAGGTGAAGAAAGACGAGACCCCTGGCTCGCCCTCTTTCTTTGTTCGTAAGCTGAGTGCTGTCGTCCGTTGGTAGGGTACCAGAGGAAGAAGGTATCGCACGTTGCGGAAAAGATGTGCAAGGACAAATGCCAATGTGAGTGAATGAGGTGGCGGAAGACACACACAAAAAAAAAATAAAGAAAAAAAAAGAGAGAGAGCGCGGGGTTAATGTTCCTGATGGGACTGCAGAGCACAGAGACAGAGTGATGGTCCTGGCCCAACTGCTGCATGGAACTTTTTTTCTTTGGCATGTTCCAGACGAAACTCGGACGGGCCCAGGAAGAGAATGAGAAGTATTCTCTAACTCTGGGGTAGCAAGTAGCAGCGATGCTAGCGACCTTGCTAGTACATGATAAAAAAGGCGAGGCCTGCCGCCAGCACCTACGTCGGAGCTAAAACAGCCTGCCTTGTGATGGAGCCGTGGCGGTTGAGTGG